CTGGCTACTAGGTACGACATATATATATATATATATATATATATATATATATATATATATATATATATATACATATTGGTAGCAGTCTATATATATATATATATATATATATATATAGATATATATGTCGTACCTAGTAGCCAGAACGCACTTCTCAGCCTACTATGCAAGGCCCGATTTGCCTAATAAGCCAAGTTTTCATGAATTAATTGTTTTTCGACTACCTAACCTACCTAACCTAACCTAACCTAACTTTTTCGGCTACCTAACCTAACCTAATATAGAAGCATCAAGAAATATGGACCAATAGGCTTTCTACAATCACTTCCATTTCAATACCCATTGTTTCGTGTTCTGTCTTGTGTTGATGAAATTAATACCCTATTAATGCCACCTCACCCCATCCACCTCACTCAAATGTAGATATAAACAAAATCGGAGATGTTTAAGTTCTATTCAGTTGGAGTATTTGTAAGCTAAAGTCTTTGAAAATGTAATAAGTTTTACGAAACGCGCTCGTGTCGCGTCAGACTAGAAATAAAAATGAATTTTGGAGAATTGATTTTTGAATTACCTCCAACAGTGAAAAGAAATGTACGAAAGATTGAGAAAATTCGTGTTAGAATTATTAATCTTACTTTTTCGGTCATATTTAATAATATATGTCTACAGGAAAGACTGCTACCAAAATATACTAATATATATATAATATATATATACATGGTTGATTCGTAGATATTTTCGAACCTAACCAGTGTGGGCAAATTTATTTTTGCTGGTGATAGTGTCTATAAAATTAGCCTATTAGATATATGCCAACCATATGGAATTTGCATCCTAGTATATTACTGGAGCACCTAGTAAGGTCAAAACACTTCTATCTAAGCTTAAGCAACTTGGAGTAGGTGGACATTTTATGTGACCTTAAAATTTACGCAACTGATTCTTTCAGGTTCTCATCAGTAATTATCCATGTCGTGAGTATCTCACAGAAGCTAATATACCCCCTGGGTACCATATAAGTAGGTAGTGCCCCCAGGACACTCTAGAAGGGGGTAGTGTACCCCAGGGTACAATAGAATAGGGTAGTGTACCCCCAGGGTACTATAACTATAGAATGGGGTAGTGTACCCCAGGGTACCAAACAACAAGTTTGTGTGCCAGAACCTTACTAACTGGGCCACTCTTGTGGAATATTCACTTGGATGAAATCCAGAATTAAATTCCATAGGTTTCTGATTATAAGGAAGTTGACCTCCTCTATCCCCTGTAGATAAAAAATAACCCGTTATTCACACTGATGAACTTTAACACACATTTTAGGGGAACGACTTTAATGAATAATTGCTCCTAAAGAGACATTGCTAAGATGATTGCTATCTCAAGATGGCACTATATACCGTTCCACTCCAAGACTATACGTGATGAAGCTGCCATTTAATGCATTAGTAAATATATAAGATGTTGAGAATTCACTATAATCTGTTCGTTGCTAGACACGTGATGGATGTTGCAGCTAAAATGATATAAGAAATTTGCATGTCAGCAGTTAAGAATTACCGGAATAGGTATTGCAGATGCTATAAGATGTATAGCTGTTTACAAATTCAATAAATCAGATCGATACTAACAGCAAAAGAAGAGCTCAAATCAACACCCATTATGGTGAATTCTGGAAACAAAAGACGAGCTCACATAGACTAACTTAAAAGTTTGAAGTCTTTGTTATAGGACAACGTTTGCCTTGCTCCACATTCAGATTCGTGTCTTTAAGGATTTTTATTAGAGTCCATTAGCTCAGGAGAAAAACTATAGGTGTGTTTGTGTGTGTGTGTGTTTGTACGTGTTTTATCCAGTAGACACTATAAAATATACAACGAACATTAAAAATTATAATTATAAGAAAAGGAAGAATTAGCCCAATAAAACAAACAGAAGAGTGAAAATGGGAAACAATATGCAATCAAAGACTGACAAAAAATTTAAGACGGACAAGGATTAGCATATAAAACTGACTAAGAATGTTACAGAATCTGATTTGGTGTTGTCCTTAAGATCTCTCAATCTTTCTAAGGTTATTAAGACCACCACAATAGTTTACTGACCAACCGTCATGTATAATTTAGTAAAGTAATTTTAATTTATAGTAAAGTAAAGTAAAAATTTAATTTTAGTAATTTCCAGGGCAAAAGAAAACTTTCAGTGTGTATATACACCGAGATGAGAACACCTACCAGTGTATAAATCCTATCTATATATATACCGATGTTGAGATTTACATACCCGGCCCCTGGGGCAGAACAGTAGCGTGGTACAACAGCATATCGTACCACGACTCTTGCCGCCTTGTGAATCAACACATTATAAACCTTTCCTCATCAGATTCAACATACATCAACGGAATTATAATCCACATAAGAAACACTGGAGGTCAGCATTTTACTAGTGCAGGAGAGAGTGGACGCCAGGCAGACTGGGAGAAGGAGAGACATATATAGAAGAGTACGCAGTTGGTGGCAGCGATAATGGCTGACGCTTGGCCATTCCCACCAATAAAAAGCTGACGAACACCCCTCATACTCTCAGTCCCTCAACGACACTTGTCCAATAATGGTAAGATCTTATCTCTTGTTGCCAACACTTTCTTGGTGAAAATAATGTTATATATTTATTGTTCTATATATATATGTATAAATTCTTATCTAAATTTTTATTTGGAAGTTATTTTGATGGTTATTTTTTGTAAGTAAACCTTAAATAAATTATGATTTGATATTTATTTTGAAGTTATTATGATTTGTAAAATCTAGTTTAACTCTGATTAACTCTGATTTGGTCTATAAGTTATGGCTGTATGGTTGCCAGATGTCAGACTCTTAGGGACTCCAAAGGTCTTCTAAAAGAAAAAGTCATATATAGTGAAAAATAATCAAAATCTTTTCCCATTCCTATAATGACTCTTCCATAGTTTTCTTTACATAAGACCTAATATAATAGTTTGTACTCTGCAGAAGTCGCTGCTGGTGGTGGGCGTAGCTGGCCTCTGCCTGCTGGTGATGGCCGTTGGAGAGGCAAACGGCCAGCTGTGTAGCGACGATATATCCGCCTCTTGCCCTGCAGATGATCCCACACGTGAGTTGCTGTTAACACTTGGGTTAATGTGGAACATTTAAGGCTCGGTTCCTACTCAGGAATTAGCCAGGATGCATGTTCTGGCTAACATGCTAATGTCAATAAATTCTGCTAATAAATTCATGTTGAAGGTAATTACAACAAAATTAAATATTTACGGTAAAGGCTTTGGTAGGGTCAGGCCGGCCCAGCAAGGCCCAACCTTAAATTCAACAAATGATGGGTGTGAGATTGTCCATTTTAGCTGAAAAAATTTTTGTTGGCCCTGATCTGTTGTTTTATTAAAGTAAATTAAGCATGTAAGGGGCTACTGAACAACCAAAAAGTTTATCTTTATTCCCGTACATAGCAAACCTTGAGTGTATATACACCGAAAAGTTGGGTACACTTCTTGATGCACCAAAATATTACATTTATTCATAATGGAATCCTAGTGAACCCCATTGACCGACGCCTCTTTATTCTGAACGTCTTCCAGCGCCGGTGTACCTGGCCGACCCGAACGACTGCGCCTACTACTGCGAGTGCTCCGGAGGTCTGGCCTGGAGCTTCGAGTGTGATCCTGGCCTGCTTTTTGACGATGTTTTAGACGTCTGTGACTGGGCAGACAACGTGAACTGCGGCAATCGACCCATCATCAGCTAGTGAGGCGCCACGGAAGTATGAGGAGAGTGACTTGCTGCTGGCTAAGGAGGTCCCCTCCAACGCCCCCAGGAGACATACCGTAACGCCTCCAGGAGACTACTGCAGTACCTCCAGGAGACTACTGCAGTGCCTCCAGGAGACTACTGCAGTGCCTCCAGGAGACTACTGCAGTGCCTCCAGGAGACTACTGCAGTGCCTCCAGGAGACTACTGCAGTACCTCCAGGAGACTACTGCAGTGCCTCCAGGAGACTACTGCAGGGCCTCCAGGAGACTACTGCAGTGCCTCCAGGAGACTACTGCAGTACCTCCAGGAGACTACTGCAGTGCCTCCAGGAGACTACTGCAGTACCTCCAGGAGACTACTGCAGTACCTCCAGGAGACTACTGCAGGGCCTCCAGGAGACTACTGCAGGGCCTCCAGGAGACTACTGCAGTGCCTCCAGGAGACTACTGCAGTGCCTCCAGGAGACAGTTTTATACGCTTGTACCTACCTCTGCTTCCTCATATATTAATGTACTAAAATACAATAAATATTATCTCTTAGGAAAGTATAATGTCCTAAAACAATAAGTAATGGAGCCGTGAAAATTATTTAATTTATTGGTTTTTCTGAAGCTGAACCTCGGCCCTCCACGCTGCATTGTGCCTAAAGACAAAAGTCAAACAGGAAATAATAAATAAAACAAGTAATATGACTATGATTAGTGTGTTGTATCTGTAAATGAATGATATTAATGTTACAGATAAATTTTCATGACAAAAATATGGTATTCATGAAGTTAGAAACAATAAAGATTATGGTCTTAAATTGGCAGTCGGTAGGCCTTGAACCTATATCAAGGTTTCTATATCTGGTATATCAAGTGAAGATTCCAGAACATATATCGGGTATATGAAGTGAACAGTGCTTCTGAAATAAGGAAAACATCATTTTGTAAGCAAAACATAAAACTAACATACGTGAATAGTGACAAAAACTGCAGGTTTGTTGGCTCTATGCAATGCAGCTCTAACCTACACCCAATCAAACTCATTCACATATTTGTCTAACTTTTACATGAAACAATCCAGAGGGTAAATAAAATAGAAGCAAGATAGTAGAGACCCGATGAACCGTACACAATGAAAGGGGGTGAACTTTTCAATGACATGGGAAGTGCTCTAGTAGGTAAAGAAATATTTCAGGAACAAAAACCGAAGATAAGGGGTAAATTTCTGAGTGAAGAAAATGGGCTACTTCTTCGTTATAAAAAACCTGAGCATTTTCACATAAGCGGTTATAACAATGTACATCATTACTGAACTAGTTGTTCATTCAGTATAGCCTGCAATCTTCACTTCCCACGATCGAGGTCTATCGTTGTGACATCCTCACTACCATGGCCAATCCTCTATAGTCTGCAGATTCTGGTTCAGAGCTCGAAACAGGCGGGCTAAAAGTCTCCCCTGAGGCATCTGAGGACATTAAGTGTTCCCTGAAGCCCTCAGAGTTTCCTCAGAGCTCGAGTTCTTTGGAATTAGTTTAGTTTTTAAAACGGAAAATGGAAACCTTGTCACTGAGCAGCTGTGTCATCATACAACCTGTCCTCAGACCAAGTCCATTCCATCCAGTGGTCGACCCCAAAGACGCATTCATCAATTTTAACATGCTGTTCATTCAAAATAGAAATTTTCTCAAATATAAATTAATATTGTTATATATCAGCATACTGTACATAATTAGGCATTGGTTGGGTTAGGTGTTTAGGTTCTTCTGTTGGCGATTATTTGTATTTATAGTACGTTTGTGATGCATTTACAGCGCTGTGGTTCGAATAAAAGTCGTAAGGGAAGCACTTGTTCCGGAAGTGTTCGGACGTCATCAGTTGTGAGTCGTGTGTAAACCTTTCATAAACAGGGGGTTTGGCGGGTGCATGGAATGAACTTTGGCCTTTGTTTATGAGGACGGGCTGACTCATAAAACATTGGTCAATTGATCTCTAATTTTGCAGCATTTCTCGCATCAAATTGTTGGAAAGGCTTACGAGCAGTGTTTCAGCCACTTCTATATTCAAAAGCGCTTCTTGAAATGCTTCACCAACGAAGGGTAAATACAAATTATTGCCAACAGAAGAGAAAACACCTTACCTAACATCCTAGACCTAACTGTACAGAACATTTTAATTTACAATTATATTGATTCATGTTTTCAGAGAATACCATTTGGATTGCTCGTGAAAATTTACAAAAGTACATTTGGTGGCGGCTATTACTTGGACTGACATTGCTGGAGCATAGGTTGGATGGAAGTCCTGTAAACTCTTCAAGTGTAGTGTGTGTTATGACCAAGAAACAATCACTGCTCAATAGGGTCTAGAATCCGGCAATCGACTTGAGAATGGTCCAAGACGGACCGAAACGTCGTCGTCCCTTCACTCTCTAGTGTGTGGTCTGGTCAACAATCTGGCACACCATATATGGTCCACGATCTTCCTCAGGTCATATAGAGATACGGTCAGTTTTATTATACACAATCAGATCACAATAACGAGATTTATCTCTAAAAATCTTTGGAGAAGGACGATGGTTCGATCCCGTCATCCTGCTCCAAAGACTTTTTAAACTTTGAATATTTGTAGATTGTGGAGAGGACAGTAGTAAAGCATTTGTCTAGAAAGCTTAAAACATAGCTACTGAAGCAAGCAATTATTGATGATCCCGGACTAACGTTTGTCTGAATTCCAGTCAGAGATTTCAGATTGCATAACGGACAACAGGCAGATATGATTTCTGAGATATTTCTATAGGTAACACGATCATTGCAATTGTATTATTAATGCAAAGTGGTCCTTTATCACATAATCTCTCGCTTGGATGTTTATATTTCCTGTTAAAGAGTCTGGATGGATAGCTGCATCCATATTCCTTCTCACTATCATACTGGTTTTGCCTTTGTAAATATGAAAGTTGTACTTCGAAAGTAGCTCATTTTGTGTCGTGTTAGGTTTAAGGCCTATCACCTGGAGAAAAACAAGTATATCTGTGTCATTCAACTCAGGCGGGGCTCTCCCAGCCCTCACCAGCCTTCACCAAACCTCACCAACCTTCACCAATCCCCACATACCATTACATCTTCCCTTGTGGGAGCAATACAGCCCTCAGGCCCTAATGTAAACAAATATGACCCACAACAGTTCATTAACCAACCAGCAAATATACTTTATTTGTCCACATTGGTGATGGCTGTAATGTCTATCAACCTGTAGAAGGTTATGAAGACCCCATATAAGAGTTGACTGGCCATCCAGCTAGTATAGTCCTAGAACTCCAACCGAAAAGCGGGGTCCCCCCCACCGAAAAGCCGGGTCCCCCCACCGAAAAGCCGGGTCCCCCACCGAAAAGCCGGGTCCCCCCACCGAAAAGCAGGGTCCCCCCACCGAAAAGCAGGGTCTCCCCCCACCGAAAAGCCGGGTCCCCCCACCGAAAAGCGGGGTCCCCCCCCCTCTCCACACTCCCCATCTCAAAATTTCCAATCTACAACCCCCTCCCTCCGTCCCCAGCACCATCACCCATGACAACTCCCCTCCCGATAACCTTCCAACGATCCAGACAGGCTCGCGGCCCTGGCATTATCAGGCGGGTCTCTTACGTGTGGCGAACATATCTCGAATCACAAAAAAACGTTGTCATCTTCTGTATATAACGTGAGGCGCATCGCCCACATCAATTCATTCTATAGAACAGAACTGCCGGAGTGCTGGAACCATGGTAGGTTACGGGATATATATATATATATATATATATATATATATATATATATATATATATATATATATATATATATATATATATATATATATACAGAGAGAGAGAGAGAGAGAGAGAGAGAGAGAGAGAGAGAGAGAGAGAGAGAGAGAGAGAGAGAGAGAGAGAGAGAGAGAGAGAGAGAGAGAGAGAGAGAGAGAGAGAGAGAGAGACAGACAGACAGACAGACAGACAGACAGACAGACAGACAGACAGACAGACAGACAGACAGACAGACAGACAGACAGACAGACAGACAGGAGGGAGCGAATAGACAGACAGACAGACAGACAGACAGACAGGAGGGAGCGAATAGACAGACAGACAGACAGACAGACAGACAGACAGACAGACAGACAGACAGACAGACAGACAGACAGACAGACAGACAGACAGACAGACAGACAGACAGACGGACAGACAGACAGACAGAGGGGAGGGAGCGAATAGACCTACAGACAGAGAGACCCGGAAAACACCGGGTACTGGGGATGTGGAAAGTTCCTGTTGGTGTCTAGAAGTAACTTGGAGTAGTAACGTTTTAATATGCTTTTTCTGACCCTGGTACAGAAGTCGTTACTGGCAGTAGTACTGGTGGGCATGTGCTCAGCTGCGGTTGTCCACGCTCAGCAGGGAACCCCCTGCGCACCAGAAATATCTGAAAACTGCCCTGCTACTGATCCAGAAGGTGAGAATGCCTTTCTGCCTCTTATTTGGATATGTTAAAGTATTATTTGCGTCTTCGAGCATTCCATATAAATGTGTATATTTATATAAAATAGACTTCAGATAGATATTACATATCAATAAACGTGTTCTTATTTCTCATGTATCCTACTTCTCATAAACCCACTACCTCATCGGCTCTTAAGAATCCTTTCCCCTTAATAAATCACACCCACAAGAGCTCTGAAGTATCTTACCTTCTCATAAACCACCTCCAGAGAGCTCTGAAGTATCTTACCTTCTCATAAACCACCTCCAGAGAGCTCTGAAGTATCTTACCTTCTCATAAACCACCTCCAGAGAGCTCTGAAGTATCTTACCTTCTCATAAACCACCCCCAACAGATCCTGTATACCTGGATGAGCCCACCAACTGTAAGGAATATTGCGTGTGTTCCGGTGGAGTCGCTTACCTCTTCGAGTGCGGACCAGACACACTCTTCAACGACGTGGACGACGTCTGTGACTGGGCTGAGACTGTGGACTGTGGCGACCGTCCCACTCCCGAGCCCGAGTCCACCACCTCCCCGCCAGTCACTGAATAGAAGATACGACCGATAGTGTCATAAGACTGAAAGAAACTGCCTATTGGCTTATGTGAGGCAGCTTCTATTTATATTTTGTCTAACTCATCCATATATATGTGTGAAACTTTGGCATGAATATATTATATATAAATCAATAAATATATATATATATATATATATATATATATATATATATATATATATATATATATATATATATATATATATATATATATATATATATATATATATATATATATATCAGTGCACTTCTCACGAACCTCTCATTATGACTTAACGTATATCTAAATAATATTTAATTTGACACCAGAATATTTTATACAGTCTTTCCTATATAAAAACAAGAAAAGTCCATTTACTTTTCAAAGTAAATTATCAATACAATGAAACCTTCCATTGGACAATACAAATACCTTGAACTAGATATCAACTGTGTCATTGCAAACGACTCACGTCATTGACTCAAAGACTTAAACCTTTGAAAATGCTTACTCGTAAGAATATTGGTATCAATGTTAAATAAACCTGACTACTTTACATGATGTTTATTAGATCCTTAGATGATTGCCTTGCATCATATTAACTTCTCCAACTCTACACTGAACAAACCAGATTAGGAATGAAGCCATGAGAATGATTCTTGATGCTCCAAAATACACATTTTGAAAAATACTTTACTTAAACGTTGTATAAAATAACGTATACAAAATACGTTAACATGAAGGAAGAACAGAGTCTGGAGAGAGTCATACAAGTCAACATGACATTTTTTACATTTCGAGCACTGCTCAGAGATGAATTATTGCCCAATCTGTCCTCCTAATAGAACGTCGCATTTTGACGTATACTCTAAGGCCAAAATTTGTCGTACTAGAAAATAGTAGCGACTCCCGGAATTTACATACTGTCCCGTTTTCTGTTTTGGGTCCTCTGGTAGGTTAGGAGAGGGCAATTTAGTACGACAGTTTGTTGACGTTGGGAAATCTTATGAGGACGGGCTCTGTTATGTGTCCTCAGCACCTTTGTGATTCATGCTGGCACACCAACTCACTCTTTGTATTATAACTAGTTCTGTGAAAATGTCTTCAACCGCATTAAACTGAATATGTTTTTAAATGCAATGGGATGTCACTGACATCCCAACTTACCTGTATCCCACCATCCAGGTGTCACACACACCCATCACCAAGAACCATCCAAGTGTCACACGTAGAAAGTGTTGCGAAGAACGAAGATTTTCAAGTCTGGTGTTGTCCCTCACACCAGCTCCGTCTAGGAAGCGGAACAACAACAGTGAAGTGGAAGATTTGTAGCGTCTAAGGGCACGCTGGAGTCACGAACGCACCTCGTAAATCCTTGGCCCACATAGAAAGAGATGCAGATGAGGAGTCACAGTAACGTGGCTGAAATATGTTGACCAAACCACATACTAGAAAGGGACGACGACGTTTCGGTCCGGCCTGGACCATTCTCCATTCATGGACCACAATCGACTTGAGAATGGTCCAGGACGGACCGAAACGTCGTCGTCCCTTCACTTTCTAGTGTGTGGTTTGGTCAACAAAAAGAGGCGCTCTGGGGGTGTCCTCCTGGCTGGAGCACGAAGGACATGTTCCCGACATTACACACCAGAAATCCCGTAGCATCGAAATAATTTTGGACCGATAATTTTTAATTATCGAATTAATCGCTCTTGAGTTCATTCAATCTTTCTCCAATTACAGGCGGAAGATGCATAGAATCCATGCGAAAGGGGCTGCAAAACAGGGGTCCTGTAGGATAGTAGACTTCGTCGTCGACTCGTACTCCAGGGACCCGGGCAAAACCTAGGGCCGGACAGAGAGGGGTTAGGGACGTTAGCTTTCACTTGACGCCTCTGTCTACCTAATAGTAAATAGGTACCAGGAAGTTGGGCAATTCTCGTGGGTTGTATCCTTGGAAAAGTCGGTAGTTAGTCTTGTGGAGGGGCTTTGATGAACATATATATACAGGCTTACTGTCCCCGACAACGGGCAAGTCTATCCAATTCTTTGATATCTAAGAAAAATTAACAAATACATCAAGACGATGTTCATGGCGAGTTACATGAAATTAATCTCATCTACACTCTTTATCATTCATCAATTCTGATTGAAATTACCTACTTAAAATTATCTGCTAGATTAAGGACCTGCCCGAAACGCTGCGCGTACTAGTGGCTTTACAAGAATGTAAATACTGTACTATCCAATGTATTCTCACAAACCCAATGTACCTTCTTGTATATAAATAAATAAATAAATAAATAAATAAATAAATAAATAAATAAATAAATATATACAAGCAGAATATTGGCTCTCGTACAACTTACACAAAAACTATATTTCAGCCATCTAATATAATAAAGAAAAAGTAAGTTTTGAAGATTTTTTTTGTATCGATACACATCTGTAATGCTGTTATTCATACTACTGTAATGTTTCTTGTAATTCATAAATTATGAGGTGTTATAAACATTTATTTTTAGTTTAGTCTATGTTAGTTTCATCATACAATTTTGGCGTTAATTGTCATGAGACATTTAGATCACCGAGCCACCATACATTGGTGAGGCACCAAGACATGTCTTAGCGTATGTTATTCAATATTTATGTAAGCGATATGTTATTCAGTTTGTCTCAAAATATAAGACTCCAAATTTGGTTCCATTCTTCATTTTCCTCTCATCTACGTCTGGTTATTCAATTCTAGCTGATTCAGCCATATTGCATACATTTTAGGTTCTGCTTCAGACGCCATACTCTGTTGGGACCTGAGTCACTGAGTCCCTCCGCTGTTGGGACCTGGATCACTGCTTGAGTCCCTCTGCTGTTGGGACCTATGTCACTGCTTGAGTCCCACTGCTGTTAGGACCTGTGTCACTGTTTGGGTCGCTTCTCTGTCGAGACCAGACTCAGAGTCTCTACTCTGTTGGCACTTCCTCCTTAATCATCGTACAAATTCCCCCAGCCCAGTTATCTGTCTGAACATGTGGATAATTCCCTCGCGACGCAACAAGTTCTCTGGGAAAAGTTCAGTATGACGCCGGTTCTCACCCTTCAACTTATCAGCTCACTCATACCTGGAGTGAGTCGTGAAACTCTCGAGTTCTTTGTGAGTAAATTCACTCATATATGTGTTCCTTACAATATTCAAACCTTCAGTAAATAAAGCAATTTTTTTTTCTTAACCTCATTTGACTGAAGAATCATATATTTTATGGTAAATTTTATTTGAAAACTGTAGTAAGTCTAATGTCAGCACAGAGAGTGACAGGGAGACAGAGAAAGACACGGAGACAAAGAGAAGGACAGAAACAGAGTGAGAAAATGAGAGTCACGGAGACAGAGAGACAGAAGACAGACACAATCAGAGAAGTCACGTGAGTTAGACAGTGAGAGTTACAGAGACAGACACTGAGAAACAGAGAGAGACAGACACACACACACACGCACACAGAGTCACAGACAGAGAAACACACACAAAGACACAGACAGAGAAACATCACACCACATATGTAAGACCAATCCTGGAGTATGCGGCCCCAGCATGGAGCCCGTACCTTGTCAAGCACAAGACGAAGCTGGAAAAAGTCCAAAGGTATGCTACTAGACTAGTCCCAGAACTAAGAGGCATGAGTTATGAGGAAAGGCTGCGGGAAATGCACCTCACGACACTGGAAGACAGAAGAGTAAGGGGGGACATGATCACAACCTACAAAATCCTCAGGGGAATCGACCGGGTAAACAAGGATGAACTATTCAACACTGGTGGGACGCGAACAAGGGACACAGGTGGAAGCTGAGTACCCAAATGAGCCACAGAGACGTTAGAAAGAACTTTTTCAGTGTCAGAGTAGTTAGTAAATGGATGCATTAAAGAAGGCTGACATATTTCAAATGTAGATATGATAGAGCCCAATAGGCTCAGAGACAGTTGATTGACAGGCGGGACAGCCAGAGACCCCCGCAAGCACAATTAGGTGAGTACATACACAGAGACACAGACAAAGAAACATACACAGAGACACAGACAGACAGAGAGAGAGAGAGAGAGAGAGACAGCCAGAGATAAGGGATGTGTTGAAATACATTAAGATGCCATATGTGCCCCCATCGAATATCGTCATTTCTGTTTACGTTCTTGGATTTGTCATTTAGAGATATGATGCCGACCCGACCAGGTCAACGGGATCGACCCCGCTCCAGTACACGTAATTCCACTGAAAAATGAATAAGATTTTAACTGAAATATGTATAACCTCGCCATTGTGGTTCCTATTACTCATCCACCTGCTCCACGAGGTGTCAGCGTAGCCACGTAAATAAAGACTCATTGTTCATCTCTTTCTTTACTGCTGCAGTGGATGGCCAAGCATGTGGATGACAAAGGGCTTCACACCCTCGATGAACGTAAATCAAAGTTGATGAAAGAAATGAAGTGGCTTTCAGCTTCGCTTATGGCTTATTATTATTATTATTATTATTATTATTATTATTATTATTATTATTATTATTATATATATATATATATATATATATATATATATATATATATATATATGTATATAAACAAGTGGATGAATGGCATAATGGGTATTAATAGGCTATTAAATGCCTATGTTCTTGCTTCTACTGTCTGTGTGTTGGTTCGGGGTCTTGAAGTGGTGTGGGTGACACTGTCTACATATATCTATCTCTCCCTGTTTATATAAGATAGACGTGGAGATGTATACATTGTATGTATACTGGTTGGCATAGTAAAAGTACTTAGACTGTGGTCGAGTGTTCAATAACTCACTACGAAATGAAGAAGCACTTTAGCCTCATCTATGTAGGACAAGCGAAAATGTATATACAGTATGGTACAAGTCTCCTGGTTCCCAAGTGAGTGGAATGTTTATATCCACGAGAGTTTGGATAACGATTTATATGAGGTGGACGTGGGTCAGTAATTCCTCTGAGCTACAGTAGTAGTAGTAGTCAAGGGAAAGTCCAAAATTTCAATTTGGCAGCAGTAATCGCTTCTGGAATCTTTCCTTATTAAGACCACTCAATAGCTCGGTCGATAGAGCTTCGGCCTCACAAGCGTGGGGTCCACGGTTCGAGTCTCCTAGAGGCCAAGTGAATGGAAGGTATAATATGGTGGTTAGCATTTAAAAAGCACTTCAGTCGCCTTCTTTGGTTGAGTGCTCAGCTACACACTGCACTTCATGTGGAAGTATCTCTATCTCTGCAAATAATATCTCTATCTCTGCAAATAATATCTCTATCTCTGCAAATAGTATCTCTACATATCTCTAACCCTGTCTATGTTAGACAGACGAGCATATATGTGTTGGTTAGCACTGTGTAGAAGAGTGGCCACGTCTCTGGAAGAAAATAAGCGTATACAAAAAAATAAAAAGTTTTCGAGGTCCTGGCTAGACCAATTGCTGAACGTCCTCGGGACGCAACCAACACGACCATGGATTTACTGCCTATCTTAATGCCAGGTGAACAGAGGCATCAGGAAACAAACCTAATCGTTTCTATACTGCCTGGGGATTCAACTCGGGTCCCTCTCTTTCGAGCCGAGGACGTAGACCACTGTGCCAAAGGGATCTGTAAAGGATGATGAACATTATAGACACGCATCGTTAGTCGACAACGGAAGTGAGTAGGCACGAGATAACGGGTTTGAACACCCTGGATGAACAAATATATTTCTCAGAATTCAAGGTTGCAAGTAATCTCTCTTACCTCCCCACCCCCCACAATCCAAAAAATGGCCTTATCACCCTCTCTTCCCTCCTCTCCAAAGCCCTGTAGCGCAAGCTGCCCCCAGCGGCCCCTTACGTAACCCTCTTCCCCTACTAGTAGCGCCTTGAACCCCCTTCCACTAGACCTCTCAGTGCCCCCTATGTCCAGGCTCCTGAACCACCTCCTTTCCCCTTCCCTTCCCTTCAATTACTCTTACCCTCTGCCATTACCTCAAACCAGACTTCACCCCCTTTCCCACTAGACCCCTTCCCCATTCCCTCCGAGCAGGACCACCCTCCCAGGACCCTCCCAGGAGCCTCCCACACCTGGTCTTATCAGCCTTAACCCGTCTCAAGGGCAAGACCATTATGCAGTGTCCGGGGAAAAGAGAGGCAGTATATAAGGTGTGGCTCGCTGTTGACAGAAGTCGTACTGGACGCCTGTGCAAGTGCAGCAACTATGGTGAGACTCCACCCCGATACTGCGGTGACTTTATGTTTTATAGTGTATGGTATTCTTATTGTGTTTTCAATAAAGTTGTACAACACACACACACACACACACACACACACACACACACACACACACACACACACACACACACACACACACACACACACACACACACACACACACACACACACACACACACACACACACACACACAAACACACACACACACCTACCCAGTTGAGAAGCGGGACCAAAGAGCCAAAGCTCAACCCCCGCAAGCACAATTAGGTGAGTACACACACACACGCACACGATACAGACGTGTTCACGTGTTCGTCAGCACTGTTCTTCCCATCATTCACGTGTTCGTGGGAACCGTTCACTTTAGAGTTACTTAATGACATGTCACTAACAAAACACATGGCATAACCGCACTAACAATAGCAGCAGCAGTCCAAATACGACTAACGAGCAATCATCGCTCGGTGTGCTAGTACCGAACCTTCCAGACCGGCAAAGTCTAGAAGGTAGTATCTTCTGCCGGCAAAGCTAACAGAGTTACGGTTCAATAGATTGCGGGGCTCTCTCTCTGCTGGACACTGGGCAGAGGCAAAGCTCCTTTTAATGATGTTTAGACGATGTTACTCACGACCAACACCGGATCATGCCAGTATAACTAGTTGCCAGGTCAGTTGTCCGGCAGCACCAGTCCTCAACAGTGTCTCCGCCCAGCCCGTTCTCCTAGGGTTTCAAAACGTCAAGAAAACGCTTAATTTAAAAGTGTCCTCTCTTATCCTAACAGGCTAAGCCAGAGGACCCAAAACAGAAAACAGGACAGCACGGTGCTTTCGCGTGCCGCTTCCGTTTTCTAGTACGACGATTTTTTACTTGAGTAATACATACGAGCGAAAAGCGACGTTCTTTGTAAGAGGACAGGTTCGCAGGAGGGTAGAAATAGCCTAAGCTACCCCTTTGAGATGTATTTTATTGTCTCAATAAACGTACTTGAACTTGAACTTGAGAGGTTCGACAGCCACCTGCCACCCCAGCACGCATGCTGGTAGAGCTGATTGTGGCGCTGACGGTGATAACGTGTGCTGATCTTGAGGAGAAATAAACTTGTACCTTAGTCCAAAGACACCTCGGAATACTCCACATACGTGCAAGGAGCAATATAATACAGGACGCTAAAAGGATGTTGTGTCGGTGTTATGAACGAAGGGAAATGTTTGTGTATGTTTGGGTTAGTATAATGTTTCGTGCAAAACTCCTCTTAACATCGCCAGTTACGCCTCTTACATGATGTTGTGATCTTCTTGCAGAAGTTCTCGCTGTTGATGTTGGTGGTGGAGGGACTACTCTCAGCTCCTCTGATCTCAGCACAGATGGGGCCGCCCTGCGACGACTCCATATCAGAACAGTGTCACATGCCAGATGACACAGGTAAGTTGTGTTGCTCCCATCCCTGTGTGTACGGGCAGTGTCATATATCCGTTTGAATGTTTGAAGGCATTTTTAACACACTTATAAATATGTATGTTAGTATATACATACTAACCTCTTTCTCAACCTATCCAACAGAACCTCAGTATTTTCCTGTGGAGGACAACTGCAGTCAGTACTGTGAATGCTCGGACGGAGTCGCTTACCTCCTCAGCTGCGCACCTGGTACGTTCTTCGACGTTCACCTTAATATTTGCAACTGGTCATACCTTGTAGACTGTGGCGATCGCTCTACGGTAACCAGCACCCCGACCACCAGCACAACTACCACCCCCAGCGTCCGCCCACCACCAACAACAGACGCATGGGAAGCATCGACATTCGCAGAGTACTGAAGCCCCCATTAAACTCTGATGTGTTGACGGTGAGCGACTGGGTATTACCACTCATAGGAAAAGGAATTATCAGGAGAGGAAAGCGCCAAGTCATTACGGCTATATAGCACTTGGAAAAGGTCAGGATAAGGATTTGGGATGAGACGGGGGGAAAGACATGGTGCTCAACCACTTGTGGACGGTCGGGGATTGAACGCCAACCTGCATGAAGCGAAATCGTCGCTCTTCCGTCCAGCCCAAGTGGTTGGGCTCGCGCATAGGAAAGAAGAACATAGTAATTCCATCATTGAACAACAAATTCGCTTCCAGTCAACAAGAGAGTTATACAACGCCATACACCAGCACGCCATACATGGCCACACACTATTGTAGAGCAATCATGAACCTTCTTCATTTTTATAACAATATATATATATGTATAATAAATCGTTCTGTAAATCATGTGTCTTTACTTATTCCCAGTTGTAAGGTGAATATCAGCAGTTGTATGGTATCATTAATCATTAAAGGATAATCATTAATCATTAAAGAATAATCATTAATCATTAAAGGATAATCCTTAATCATTAAAGAATAATCATTAATCATCAAAGGATAATCCTTAATCATTAAAGAATAATCATTAAGCATTAAAGGATAATCCTTAATCATTAAAGAATAATCATTAATCATCAAAGGATAATCCTTAATCATTAAAGAATAATCATTAATCATCAAAGGATAATCCTTAATCATTAAAGGATATTCATTAATCATTCAATGACATAATGGCGGCTGTGGACTTCAATGTACAGAAAGTGAACTTTGTCACTTGACAAAATTCCGCTTTTTTTGTACTAATAATAATGATAAAAGGCGGACAAGGAATGAAACAGCCTAACATTGTGTCTCCTAGGCCTAGTAAAGTAAATATGTGCATTACGTTAGACCTAGACTTGCGTACATTAGGCAAAAGTGTTTTTCTATAATAGCCCAAGGAGAGGTGGGTAGTTTTTTTTACTAGTTTTATTTAATCCCTTTTAGACTATAACTAGCACATAACCTAGACCTTTTTGGTGTCATATTTCACGTGTATTATTATTAATATTGATAATAATAATAATAATAATATTTTTTATTATTTATTATTATTATTATTATTATTATTATTATTATTATTATTATTATTATTATTATTATCGTGGCAATGCCGGGGTTGTAGATTCGTGTCTACCTCATAGCTCTAGTGTATTTTGTCATTATTAGCAATTTTATCATATCGATAATTAAATCTTAATACTTTATTAAAAAATAATAATTCTGTTACTTCTCTGAGTGAAGTGCTTGTGCTGGAGGAGTACAGAATGAGCTATATTAACACAGGACATAAGATAATCCTTAATATTTAGAAGTGACAGTGGATTATAGAATGATAACTATACCTATAATATCGAACAAAGACTATCACATAGAGGACAATACTAAAATAACGTAGCAAGCAAGGTAAAGACTCAACCTAAATTACTGCACAGGCACATCAGGAGGAAAACAACAGAGAAAGAACAGGTAATGAAACTGAGGATTGGGGCAGACAGATTCACTACAAACGACAAGGAAGTGTGCGAGGAACTCAACAGGAAATTACAGGTCTTCACATTGGTGCAAAAGGAAGTTCCAGAGATAAGAGAGGGAATATCTAACCAGGTACCACTAGAAGAGTTTGTGGGTTATCAGTTAGGAGGTAAGGAAGCTTTTGCTGGTTAGATATGACAAAGGCTATAGACCCGGATGGAATATCACCATGGATACTAAAGGAAGGAGCAGAAGCCCTGTGCCTGCCACTCTCCATGGTGTATAACAAATCACTGGTAACAGGTTAACTGCCAAAAATTTGGAAGACGGCAAAGGTAGTCCCGATATACAAGAAGGGTGACAGAGAGGAGGCACTGAACTACAGGCCAGTGTCCCTAACTTACATACAATATACCAAGAAGGTATACAATGCAAGTTGATGGAGAAGATTATGCGAAAAAAGCTAGTGGAACATCTGGAGCGAAAGAACTTCGTATCACAACATAAGCATGGGTTCAAGGATGGTAAGTCATGCCTCAGTATTAACTGAATTCTACGACAAAGCAACAAAAATCAGGCAAGAAAAAGAAGGGTGGGCAAACTGCATATGTTTAGATTGCCAGAAAGCCTCTGACACAGAACCACATAAGAGACTAGTGCGCAAGCTGGAAATGCAGGCAGGAGTGAAAGGGAAGGTACTCCATTGGATAAGGGAGTACCTAAGCAACAGAAGACAGCGAGTCACTGTGAATGGTGAAGTCTCAGAGTGGCAAGGCGTCACCAGTGGAGTCCCACAAGGATCAGTCCTTGGACCTATACTGTTTATGATATATGTAAATGATCTCCCAGAGGAAATAGAATTGTTTCTCTCAATGTTTGCTGATGATGCAAAATTTATGAGGAGGATTAAAACAGAGGAAGATAGAATGAGGCTACTGGATGACCTTGACAAACTGAAAGAATGGTCCAACAAATGGCTACTAAAGTTCAACCTAAATAAATGTAAGGTAATGAAACCAGGCGGAGGAAATAGGAGGCTAGATACAGGATACCGAATGGGAGATGAAGTCCTTCATGAAACGGAAGAGAGAAAGATCTAGTAGTTGATATCACTCCAAACCTGTCTCCTGAAGCCCACATCAAAAGAATAATATCAGCGGAATATGCAAGGCTGGCACACATCAGAACTGCCTTCAGGAACCTGTGCAAGGAATCATTCAGAACCTTGTATACATATGTAAGACCAGTCCTGGAGTATACGACCCCAGCATGGAGCCCGTACCTTGTCAAGCACAAGACGAAACTGGAAAAAGTTCAGAGGTATGCCACTAAACTAGTCCCAGAACTAAGAGGCATGAGTTACAAGGAAAGGCTGCGGGAAATGCACCTCACGTCGCTGGAAGACAGATGAGTTCGGGGAGACATGATTATCACATACAAAATTCTCATGGGAATTGACAGGATAGACCAGGATGGATTATCTATTAGTAGCACTTTGTGCGTGTGCACGGGAGGCACACGAACAAGGGGACACAGATGGAAGCTCAGTACCCAAATACGCCACAGAGACATTAGAAAGAACTTTTTCAGTGTCAGAGTAGTTAGTAAATGGAATGCACTAGAAAGTGATGTGGTGGAGGCTGACTCCATACACGGTTTCAAATGTAAATATGACAGAGCCGGGACAAAAGAGCCGAAGCTCAACCCCCCCCCCCCTCAGCACAACTAGGTGAGTACAGTCAAGAATACAAATAGACGGAATTCGAACTTAGCGACGATATTAAATTTTGACCACAAAATAAATGGTAAAAGCGATATGGGCAGCCGAGTAGAAGAGATAAAGAGAATTTGTAAAACAATTCCAGGTAATTGCCTAACCACCAAAGCGATAAGGCCGCCCTAACAACACATGGTACTGGCGTAAACAATACTTGTTCTCACCATTCAAGGTTTCCCAACTCTCCCAGCGGTATCAGTAACACCTGTTGAGCTGGCGGCGAACATCAAGACGACCTTCAGGAGCCTAAACACGCAGACCTTCAAGGTCCTGTTTAAGACGTAGGAGAGACCAGGCCTAAAGTATGCGGAACTAGCGTGGAGCCCCAACATCAAAAAAGCTTGAGAAATTGAGAAAAGAACAATCTAAGATTGAGACAGAACAACAGTTTGAGAAGGACTGAGAGGTATGCGACCCCAGTATGCAGCCCGTACCTTGTCAAGCACAAGACGAAGCTGGAAAAAGTTCAGAGGTATGCCACTAGGGTAGTCCCAGAACTAAGAGGCATGAGTTACGAGGAAAGGCTGCGGGAATTGCACCTCACGACACTGGAAGACAGAAGAGTAATTGGAGACATGATCACCACCTACAAAATTATCAGAGGAATTGACAGGGTAAATAAGGATAAACTGTTTAATACAGGTGGTACGTGAGCAAGGGGACACAGGTGGAAACTGAGTACCCACATGAGCCACAGGGACGTTAGAAAGAACTTTTTCAGTGTCAGAGTAGTCATTATTATTTGAATTTATTATTTTTATTATTATTTCTGTTGCTGTTATTTATTTTATTTATTATTACAATGGGTTAAGGTGCATAAACTTGGTAATCGCTGTTAGGAAAAAACTTCATTCCCCCTCCCCAGAACATCCTAATCTCCTACCCCTCTCACCATCTGATTTTACAAGCCCCCTTTCCCTTACCCTCCCTCCCTCCCCACCAACATCGTCTTCCCCCAACAAGCCCCAGTCCCCCCTCGCCCCCCTCTCTCTCTCTCTCTCCCCCCCCCCCAGCTTTAATATTATCTGACAGAAGCCTCGTGTCTTAAATTATCTTCAATCGCACATACACAAAAAAGATAAATTTGGGTATATAAAGCGTGGTGCGTCCGCCATATGTGCTTGTGTCGGTAAAATATCCCTGGAGCCATGGTGAGTGCTGTCTTACACACACACACACACACACACACACACACACACACACACACACACACACACACACACACACACACACACACACACACACACACACACACACACACACATACACACACACACACATACATTAACCATTAACAGGGGCCTTGTAGCCTGGTATATAGCGCGCAGCACTCGTAATTCTGTGGCGCGGGTTCGATTCCCGCACGAGGCAGAAACAAATGGGCAAAGTTTCTTTCACCCTGAATGCCCCTATTACCTAGCAGTAAATAGGTACCTGGGAGTTAGTCAGCTGTCACGGGCTGCTTTCTGGTGTGTGTGTGTGGGTGGTGTGGAAAAAAAGTAGTTAGTAAACAGTTGATTGACAGTTGAGAGGCGGGCCGAAAGAGCAAAGCTCAACCCCCGCAAACACAACTAGGTGAATACAACTAGGTGAATACACACACACATACACATACACACATCATACATTACCTACGCTAAACCAATACAATGTGTCCACAAAATTTAGAGTCTAATGGTTTGTTACACGTCCCTGAACTAAGATGAGTGAGCTCCAGGTTAAGGCCAGGAGAACTGCACCTCACCTTCTTGGAATAGAAAAAGAGATATGATAACGACTTGCAAGATTCTTAGAGACATTCGCACACTGGACAGAACCGAAATATTTACCAAGGACAGAATGAGGGATTGTATTACAAATGACCAATCCAGAGAAATCCCAGAGGTTTGCTACAGGACTGGACCATTAACTTAGAGGACTTACGCATGTGGAAAGTAAACTAGAGCTCCCCCCCCCCCCACTTTAGAAGAGAACTGGATCCTGGGAAAACAAAAGATGGACAGGAGATGCCAAAAAGAACGGCAAAACCTCCTGAAATCAAAGAAGATAACTTGGGAGTGATATCACTTGGGAGTGATATCACTCCTATGCGATCTTCAAAAGCCAGTGTCCGTAAGATATCATGAGCGTCATATGCAAGGTTAGCCAACATAAATACGGCTTTAAGAAATCTGAACAGAGTGGTTCAGGACCCAAGCACAACTAGGTTGATATACACCCACACATACCTCCACACATACCTCCACCCCCACACACATACCTCTACACCCACACACATACCTCCACACCCACACAGATACCTCCACACCCACACACATACCTCCACACCCCCACACATACCTCTACACCCACACACATACCTCCACACCCCCACACATACCTCCACACCTACACCCACACCCCCACAACATGCTAACCCCCATTCTCACCTTTTTTCAACGCAGTGTTCTATCTCTCCGGCAGAAGTCGTTGATGGTGTTGATAGCCCTGAGCTGCGCTGCTCTCGTTTCGGCGCAGACCGACACACCTTGCGCAGACGAGATCACTGCGCAGTGTCCCGCTGTAGATGGAGAATGTAAGAAACAGTTTCATATTATGTTTGGTGTGATTCCTTTCATGTTTGGTCGTTTGTCTCAATTCGTACATGTGCGTATTTACCCAGATCTAACAAAAACCCTCATCTTGACCCCCACATCAACAGATCCGGTGTTGCTGCCCGAGCCCTCCAACTGTAGGGATTTCTGCAAGTGCTCCTTCGGAAAAGCTTGGCTCTACGAGTGTCCCCCGAACACCCTCTACGACACCACCTGGGAGACGTGCAACTGGGCAGATGCTGTAGATTGTGGCACCCGACCCATACCAGAGCCAGTCACTGTGGCACCTTAGACACCCAGAAACACCTGTCGTTATGACTGATGCACAAACCTGAAGTCCTACACCTGACTCTTCATACACCTGATTGAGAATATGTATATAATATATAAAATACATCTAATGAGCTATATCGTTATTTCAGTCAGTGTTATTGGTTAATATCCTTTTGTATTCGTTGAATAAAACTAAATATAAGTGTTGTTGAAAAATGTATTTTCCATAAGCCCGTTGTGCTTGGCTTGGCGATGGTCATTACCCATCTGGAGGGTTAATAAGACCACCGTAATACCTTGCTGACCTCCCAGTATGCATTATTTAGTGCTGAACTAAGTAAACCAAAGTAAACTCAGGACTAAAGTAAACTCTCTATAGACACCGAAAAGAGGAGTGCGCCTCCAGGTGACCCTCTGCGCAGTGCTGTGCACATGTTGTTGTTGTTATAGATTCAGCTACGAGGAACAAGAAGTTGCAAGTAGCACGGGCTATGGTGAGCTCGTAGTGGACTTACCTGGCACAGGAGCGGGGCTGTAACTGATAGCTGAGCCCAGTTGGGTAAGGGCATCCATCGCCGTTTTCAGTAATTGGCATATTTTCGGTAAAAAAAGACTTAATTTGAAAATGAAAATAAGTGCAGAGAGTCAGAATTCGGCTAAAAAATCACGCTCAGGAGTCAAATTTCCGATATTTCAGATATTTTGAAAACTGCAGGGGGGTTTGGGCAAAATATGACCCATCGCCGTTTTCAGTAATTGGCATATTTTTTTGTATAAAAGGTCGTAATTTGAAAATGAAAAAAGGTGCAGAGAGTCAGAATTCGGCTCAAAAATCACGCTCAGGAATAAAATTTCCGACATTTCAGATATTTTGAAAACTGTAGGAAGATTTGGGCAAAATATGTTCCATCGCCGTTTTCAGTAATTGGCATATTTTCGGTATAAAAGGTCGTAATTTGAAAGTGAAAATAGGTGCAGAGAGTCAGAATTCGGCTAAAAAATCACGCTCAGGAGTCAAATTTCCGACATTTCAGATATTTTGAAAACTGCAGGGGGGGTTTGGGCAAAATTTGACCTATCGCCGTTTTCAGTAATTGGCATATTTTCGGTATAAAACTTCGTAATTTGAAATTGACAATAGGTGCAGAGAGTCAGAGATCGGCTCAAAAATCACGCTCAGGAGTCAAATTTCCAACATTTAAGATATTTTGAAAACTGCAGAGGGGGTTTGGGCAAAATATGACCCATCGCCGTTTTCAGTAATTGGCATATTTTCGGTATAAACGGTCGTAATTTGAAAATGAAAATAGGTGCAGAGAGTCAGAATTCGGCTCAAAAATCACGCTCCGGAATAAAATTTCCGACATTTCAGATATCTTGAAAACTGCAGGGGGGTTTGAGCAAAATATGACCCATCGCTGTTTTCAGTAATTGGCATATTTTCGGTATAAAAGGTCGTAAATTGAAAATGAAAATAGGTGCAGAGAGTCAGAATTTGGCTCAAAAATCACGCTCACGAGTCAAATTTCCGACATTTCAGATATTTTGAAAACTGCAGGGGGGTTTGGGCAAACTATGACCCATCGCCGTTTTCAGTAATTGGCATATTTTCGGTATAAAAGGTCGTAATTTGAAAATTAAAAAAGGTGCAGAGAGTCAGAATTCGGCTCAAAAATCACGCTCACGAGTCAAATTTCCGACATTTCAGATATTTTAAAAACTGCAGGAGGCTTTGGGCAAAATATAACCCATCGCTGTTTTCAGTAATTGGCATATTTTAGGTATAAAACGTCGTAATTTGAAAATGAAAAAAGGTGCAGAGAGTCAGAATACGGCTCAAAAATCACGCTCAGGAGTCAAATTTACAGTTTTCAGTAATCCCAGCATTGGTTTGGGTTGAATGTGACACGTTTGTTAAAATATTAGTGATTACGCAGAACACTATATCCTTTGGCCCTTTTTGAACCTATTAATCCTGCCTAACTTGATTCATCTCCCAGCACTGCTGGTCAGCCCAGACTATATTGGAGTATATAGTTCTATGTTGCATTCTACTCGTTTAGATTTTATGTAGCTCATACTTAAGGACTAGAAGTAACTAAACATCGTCTAATATGATCTCGCATGCAAAGTGACTTTGATTAACCAATATGTTCTAAATTATAACGCATAAATCTTCTGCGAGGATTTAAGACCAAAACCTAGCTATTGGTGGAGGTCAGGCGCGCTTGCCGCAATACCATCGACTCCCCAAAAAACATGCAGCCAAGGGTGTTGAGGCGTGTAGAAACAGGGTAAGGAGATTGATTGATGATTGATGAAGATTAAGGCACCCAAGAAGTGGCATGAGTAGACCGTAAGTGGTAGCTGGGTATGGAGCTTTGGTTATCATAATTATAATCCGGATCCAAGTTGCAGAGAATCAGTCTCACCTCTTTTTCATTCCATTCACTTGGATCAAACGAGTATATGAGACCGTTGTCCCACCAACCAGCAGCAGACCTCGGATACTTACAACAAGGAGTGACCTCAGAAGTACCTAACTAGTCCCTAACATAGACTAAGTTATTCCTGGAGCACCACAGACGTATCTTTATGCTCCCCGTCGCTTGTCATCCTGTAGGTCGGTTGTACAGAGGATGCAAGACGTTTAACTCCTCGTGCTGTAGGCTGGAGGTTCCAATTCTGGCCTATTTTTCAGCAGCTTCTAGTTGTAGGCTTAGATTCTCCAAGCGGCACTATTTTGGAATTTATATAATGGTACAGAGGGACACCACTCGAAGTATCTATCATATTTCCCATCACAATCGTAGATATCTGGTCATGTGGCCGGGTTACGGGTGTGGAGGAGCTATCGATACTAACTAGAGAATCAAATTAAAGCAAGTTTATTGAATTAATAAAATACTTCCCCAAAAAAGGTTGGAGGAGCTTTGGTCATTTCTACCCTCCTCCTTCTTCACAGGTCTCTCAAGGAGCTATTACTATCCTTCTCTATTAAAGGTTTCTTCAGGGGCTATTGCTATCTTACTCAATTTCAGGTCTCTAAAGGGGCTATTTCTACCATTTTAGGTCCTTTAAGGAGCTATTTGGAACCTCCTCTGTTACCTGAATTTACCTGAGAGACACCATATCTCTAATGACTTTGGTGGAGACAGAAAGCCGTCGGCTTGTTAGAAGTTCACCACCCCTCCCATTTTTCCACCTGCAGGTAAACCACAGATACTTGGTGGTACAAAGGACGAGCCGCTCCCAGCAGGAGACTCCACTAACGACGCCGCAATATGCGCTGATAAAGCCTATATCAGAACTCACGTCAGTCCAACGACTTCCTCTCCTTCATTACTAACTCACAATTAGTCTTCCAGCGACTTTCAGATGACATGTGCAGTTAATTCCCTAATGTTTTGGAGGTTTCTGGTTTCGGGAATCATTCACAAGTTTACAGACATGCGCGGTATACCAAGAAAGGTATACTGTAATGTGAGGTTGTCACAGGCTTGGGAAACTCCACATGTGACTCGTGTCTGGAAAAAATGCCTGCGTGAGATACGGAAGATTACATGTTTATTTATGCAAGCACTGAGAACCGAACAGCATTCTGACGGAATTTTTGTAACAAAGGGAGGTTATGTAAGCCTTTTTTGGTTTGTAACTTTTGTCTGTTGACTGTAACTTACTCATCGGTTACTAAGAGGCAGTTTCGGCACCTTTTGAGAGTTCTGGGGATTCCTCGACCCTTGACAGTGTTGGGGGTACCTCGGCCCCCTCTTGAGAGTGCTGGGGGGTCCCTTGACCCCTCTTGAGAGTGCTGGGGGTCCCTCGACCCCTCTTAAGAGAGCTGGGGGTCCCTCGACCCCTCTTAAGAGAGCTGGGGGTCCCTCGACCCCTCTTGAGAGAGAGCTGGGGGTCCCTCGATCCCTCTTGACAGTGCTGGGGGTCCCTCCACCCCTCTTGACAGTGCAACCCATCCTCGACTCAAGTCCATTACATTCAGCGGTCAACCCCACAGACGCATTAATAAATTTTAACATGTTGTTCATTCAAAACGGGAATTTTCTCAAGTATAAATTAATATTATAATATATTAGCATATTGTGTATAAATAGGCATAGGTTAGGTTAGGTCAGGTGTTTAGGTTCTGTTGGCGATTATTTGTATTTGTAGTACGTGGGTGAAGCATTTACAGCGTTGTGGTTCGTCGACCCCCTCTTGAGAGTGCTGGGGGTCCTTCGATTTTCCCTCGACATGCTGTCCCTCGATTAGAAAATCAAGTCCATTACATCCAGCGGTTGACCCCACAGACCCACTCATAATTTTTTACATGCTGTCTATTCTTAAATAGAATTTCTCAAATATAAATTAAATAATAATATATTAGCATATTGTGCACGTATATAGCCATAGGTTAGGTTAGGTGTTTAGGTTCTGTTGGCGATTATTTGTATTTGGAGTACGTGGGTGAAGCATTTATAGCGTTGTGGCTCGAATAAAATTTGTCAGTGAAGCATTTGCTTCACTTGGAGGACGGGCTGCTGTAACAGCCCGTCCTCCAAACAAAGATCCAAAAGTGATTCCATGCACCCGCCAAACCCCCTGTTTATGAATGAAAAGCGGTTTACACACGACTCACAACTGCTGACGTTCGAACATATCCGGAACAAGTGCTTCACTGACGAATTTTGTTCGAATCACAACGCTATAAATGCTTCACCCACGTACTACAAATACAAATAATCGCCAACAGAACCTAAACACCTAACCTAACCTAACCTATGCCTATTTATACACAATATGCTAATATATTATAATATTAATTTATACTTGAGAAAATTCCCGTTTTGAATGAACAGCATGTTAAAATTTATGAATGCGTCTGTGGGGTTGACCGCTGAATGTAATGGACTTGAGTCGAGGACGGGTTGGCTGTAAACAGCCCGTCCTCCAAACAAAGACCCAAAAGTGATTCCATGCACCCGCCAAACCCCCTGTTTATGAATGAAAAACGGTTTACACACGACTCACAACTGATGACGTTCGAACACTTCCGGAACAAGTGCTTCACTGACGAATTTTGTTCGAACCACAACGCTATAAATGCTTCACCCACGTACTACAAATACAAATAATCGCCAACAGAACCTAAACACCTAACCTAACCAGTGCCTAAATATGCACAATATGCTAATATATAATAATATTAATTTATATTTGAGAAAAGTTCTGTTTTGAATGAACAGCATGTTAAAATTGATGAATGCGTCTTTGGGGTCGACCGCTGGATGGAATGGACTTGGTCTGAGGACGGGCTCCGGGAAAAGCTATTACGCTCGTACTAATGTAAATATTGCTTGTGTTTGCTTTGTTTTGTTATTTTACTGCGCCCAATTACAGGTATATCCATCGGTTATGTGCTGCCAGGTTAATTTAACCGAGTTAGGAATGATCTACAAATCGAAATATCTTCAAAGTTGAGGGTTAGCCGGAAGAAATGACCGGCGTTAATAGAGTATAGATCCGCGTCTTCGGTTTTAATTTGTTGTGTCTAAATACTCTACCTGAGTTGGTTGTGCAAAGTAGGTTGTGTCGATTATTCCGTGGATGTGTTGTTATTGTGTCTTGACCAGCAGGTCTAAGCTACAGTAAAGATTTAATTTGGTGCCATTTAGTAATGGGTAGAGTTCATGGCCCAAAGCTGACAGCTAACCTTACCTGATCATCAGCAGTAGTGCCTAGCTGCTTGCAGACGTGCTTTTGCACTGTTTAGGGACAAATACGCTATAATACATTGCATTATCTTGTATAAAATGTATCCAGCATCCTCCTTGGGCTTGTATCCAAATAATGTAGTTCACAAATAACACAGCTTCCCCATAGGCCTGTGATCAAACAGTGCATCATACCCCATGCACTGGTATCTTAATAGTTCAGGGGCTTCGTGTGGTCTTATATCCAAATAAGATCGTGCCCAATTGGATTTTATCCACAACTTTTAGGTAGGGGGTTATTTTAGTTTACATATTCTGTAGGCTTAGGCTGTGAATTGTATATCAGAAAATTCCTTATGATATCCATGCAGGGAGGGAGGCTGCTGGTCCTCTGCTACTAATGCTTAGCCTATAGGTATTTTTGTAAATGGAATAAAAATTGTATTTAAGGCATCTTTGAAAGGTCTATGTATGAACTAAAAGTCTATACATTTATCTATAAATTAGTACTACAGCAAGGTCTATAGATTCAGTATCTATTGAGATATTAACTAGAGCATGACCAGTGGCTGAACTTTTGTCTTCGTCCAAGAAAATGGATGAATACACCAGTGGTTTGTCAGGTAGGTATATCGCCCCTATTTTGAGATGTTGGCAGTATAAACATATATATTCAGCCTGCCAACGAGGAGTCACAATAACGTGGCTGAAATATGTTAGCCACAATCGACTTGAGAATGGTCCAGGATGGACCGAAACGTCGTCGTCCCTTCACTTTCTAGTGTGTGGTTTGGTCAACATATTCAGCCTATCCACCTGTTTTGGTAGTACTATACTTATAGTAACGATGAGGACCATGGTATATATACCAACAGACAACGAAATGAGAACGTGGAAATCTGAACTATTAAGTTGGACAAACCAGAAAACTATTTTTAACTTCTGTTGCTTTGACAAATTAAATTAACCTATCCTAACCTCCCTAGGCCTAATAGATGATATCTGAGGCCTAATATAGTACACATAAGTGCTATACTAGTGCTAGGCATATTTAAGTTTGTGTTTTAGCTTCATTTATTTTGAAAGAATTCCTTACTAGTCAGTATACAACTATCTAAAAGCTAAGAACGTACGAATTCTTACTATTGACGATTGTCACAATAGGTACTATCTAAACAGGAGGATTAGTTAATATATGTTATTTATTTTGTACGCTATATTACACAGTGAATAATGTGTTCATTACAATCATAGTGCTAAGATTTTTTTTACAGAGTAAAAACCCTGTCCCAGATATTAGTGTACAAATTGTTAAATTTTTTTGTAATTTATTTTTCAGGGTCTTAGGATATGATTATAGCCTTGGTTCAGTTCCTTTAAGGGCTTGGTATTATCTGCATGGATTGGAAGGAATTCAGGTTAAAGGAAACGTAACAATGACTAAAGAAGAATTGCTTGCCTCGATAGAAATATATCAAACCCAGGTGAGTTCAGAAATGTGATAAGAGTGTTGATGAATCAGATTTGCAGGCAGACAGGATGCATATTTTTAGTCCATCAGAAAGCAGATTTATATTGTATTTACTGTACATGTACAAAATCATGTTTTTCCTTACAAAACCACTTGAAAGTCATTTTTAGTAAATGTTTAATGAAACATAGTAAACAAAAATTTCTCAAATAATATTCTTGTAAATTAGTTGTCTTGTGTGTCAGAAAATATATTAATACTATATAAGTTTTCATATTAATAGTTTTTCTGCCTTCAGGTACAGCTTATTTGTAAATGGGTTAAAATAAATACAGTGATTATGAATATCTATATAAGCATTTAATACATAAGCTACTGTTTGGAGGTTTGTTTTACTTTTAATCTCTTGATTAGGTAACTACCTAAGTGTAGTTACAGGATGAGAGCTACACTCATAGTGTCCCATCTCCCTAGTACTCTTTGTCATATAACACTTTGAAACTAGATGGTCCTTGTAATAATACATTTTGGTTTTAGTGTATCATGTTAAACAAAATTTCTTTTATGCTTTTCTTGCATGAGATTTCTATGCAATATCATGGGAGCTCCTTATTGTATTAATGTAATATTTATGTTGCCTGTATACATTACCTCTAGTGGACATTTTGGGTAGAATTAAATTTTTCTCCAGTGCTTATATGACCACTTTTATCAAGTGGTCATTTATATATATCTCAATATAACCAGCACATTAATGGCATTCTGCCTGAGAGTTAATAAGTCTGTGAATGACAGACAGTGGATTCTTACATTAAGGAACAAGCTGAATTTTCTTCTCAAGAGGGACTTTATGTATAATTCGAAGCTTAATTTATATACTGTACATACTGTGTAAATGTAATTTTTTTTTTTAAGCTGGAACAAATCCAAGGGGCCCTTGATACAGCTAGTAATGCAGAAAAGATTCAACTTCAAGAACTACAAGCTAATCTACTTCAGTTGTTAGATCTTACTTTGCAACAGCTGAATGAGAAGCCAAATGTGGAGCAAGTACAAGAGGCAAAAGAAACAGCCATCCATAATAAACTGGAAGATCATCAGACAGAGCAAAGTGACTTGATACCTGACGATGAAAAAAAATTAGATGATGAGTTTGCTTTATTTCAGGTTTGTGCAACTTAATAAGTTTCTTGTATAGACTGAAGATTCATTGGTAGATAAAGATCAAGTGGATAAGATTTGACTATGTATTACCCCTGATATAAATATATCAGTGTGAAACCTGCTTCCACATTCATTTCTCAGTTATAGTTGTTGTCGTAACCGTGGATCAATTTTTTTTTCTTTACCAGTCTGAGATTGCGGCATTATCTGGAGGAAGTGATGATGAGAAGAGTGAACCTAAACACCAGTACTCCAAAGAAGGGCTGGAAGAATTGGTAGGAACCCAATGCCGCTCACCATTCACCGAGAAATGGGGCGGTCATTCATATCACAATGCTATTGTTCTTAGTGTTGTGACACAAGAGGATGGTGAAGCTGACCTAGATAAACCAGAGGTGAGCATATCTGTATTTAAACACTTATTTGTATGATTCTCTGTATAAAATTCCCATTGTGAGGAACAGGAAGCTTGTATTTATGCTTAGCAAGATCTTCCCTAAGAAAACTATTGACATTCCTTAGAGTGCAACCCACAACAGTTGTCTAACTCCAGGTACCTATTTACTGCTAATTGAACAGAGGCATCAGGTGAAAAGAAATGTGCCCAACTGTTTCTATCCTCCCATGAGAATCAAACCCAGGACCACCCCCTAGGTTGTTCTCTGGTCAAACTTACTTCCCTAGCTTTGTAGTGTTAGTTAAATTCTGGCCCTGGAGTTCAGTAGGCAACCGATGGGTCCTGGTGTGTTAAGCTATGGCTCAGTGGAACTAGAGTTGACCTCAAGGAGCTATTGGGAGTCCACCAGAAATGTGCATTTCATTACATTCAACACATGACTTTATATTTAAAATTTAAAGTTTCTTTTAAATTAAAATTTTTCCTTTATGTGCAGTATGTATATGTATATATAATGAGTCTTTATCACTTATTATATTAAAATAATTGCTATTCCTCATTTTAATTTTAGGTTCGAGTGTTGTTTAGTCAGCCAACATGTCTAGAAATGTTGCCATGTCGTTACTTCTTATCTGGGCGATGCAAGTTTTCTGAAGATGAATGCCGTTTTTCTCATGGAAAAATTGTCTCAATTTCTGATATTAAAGAACACAGGTATGTTTATAGATTGTGTTTGTATGTGTGTATAAAATTATCATTGCACAAAAACTGTATAGGCAGCCCCTCAATTTTTGTGAGTGATGGATTGTTGGCGACGTTTAAAATTGAACATATTGTTATACAGGAACTACAGTATTGAGGATGCATTGCAGAAGCCTCCAAATGTCACTTTTTTTTCCGAGGGGTCGGGAATGTAAACCAGGACTCCAGGATGTAAACGTTGACACCCTTAGCAGTCAGCCTAAGAGCCCTGGAAAACCCCATTGGGGCTCATTGGTTCAATGGATGCATCCTCTGAGCCCCATCTTGCTTTGTGCGAGTTTGAAGGTTGCTTTGCCCCCCTTGTCTCAGGGTGACACTTGTCATTTTTGCCTCCGCCATGCTGCCTGTTGGGTCAATGACTCCTTTAACCCGGAGTTGCTCAGCTTCTGAACTGGGCGTGTGTGAGTAGCCAGCATGGAGGGTCTGGGGCTCCCCCCTCCCCCTCCTGGGGAGGGGAAGGCTGCACGGACAAGTGGCACAGCGGTGGTGGTATGACATTTGCTGTTTGCTTGTTTCCTTGAGAGTTGGGAAGTTCTGCCTCCTGTTCAGTTTCTGGTTGCAATTTTCTTACCAAGTAGGATTTGTTTTGTTATGCCTACCTTTCTGGGTGCCTAACCCCGGTCGATGGCAGACAAGGAATACCCCTAACCACAGGGGAGGGTTTCCAGAGGCCATTGCTCCCTGTGCCTCTCTAAGGGGGAGGCCAGGTTCTGGCTCATGGTCCCCGGTAGGCTGAACTCCAGTGACTAATGCCCCAGACTAATATATCGAATATCAGTCCGATAGCTCCAGGGAGCCTCCGTGGCTCACCAAGAAGATGGCGTTACATTACATTCAACGCTGGTTTTCTGTTATTATATAATTGTATCCCAAACTACTGTTGAATTTCTAATAACAAATATATATCTTACAGGGACCCCGAATATGACACCATAGTGACTGGAAGTCGAGTTTTGGTTCAGTATTCTAGTGATTTATGGACAAGTGCTACTGTACAGGATGTACTGGAAGACAGATCAGCCTTCTGCATCAAATATGACAAAAACAAAGAATTAGCTGAAGTACAGCTAACACAGATGGTTCCTCTGCAGTGTGAGGAGAATGACGAAGACAGAAATGAGGTCAGTACCTAATTTTCTCTATTTCAATGTCTTGGCCAGAAATACATTCAGAAACATTATATAATTGATTTAATTATAGTTGTATATGAACCATGTGCAGAAATGGCTCTTAAAGTTTTTTTAATTTATTGGCTCAAATAAATAAACAGCATACAATGATATATATGTAAATGTTAACTGTTCAGCATATTATGGAGCTAGATGATTGGAGAAGATTGCGATTGTAACTGTATAAAAATAATTCTGAATATGGTGAATACATTAGCTATAGATTTATTAGCATATTAAATGTTGTAGTTAAAGTGTAATTTTGGAATAGTTAAATATTAAAAAAATATGAGAAATTAGTCATTGATGAGCAAAGTGTCCCCTAGAAAATCCTCAAGGGATTTCCATAGTGGAAAAGGGCATGTGAACTAGATACAGTACAGTATTTGTATTGGAGATGACACTAGAGGAAAACTATAAGATGCTTGTGTGAAAATATTGAAGTCGTAAGATGGGCGTCCGTGAACTCTTCATGCACACGAGCTACCAACTCAACCATATCACATAATTTTGATTTCATTGTGCAAGGTGTATATGTGTTTGCTGAAGCTGAGAATTGAAGACCATACTCTCTGAATGAGACATTTGATATTTATCTATTCTTTCCAGATGTCAAACATAGACGATGCAAGTGACCCTGATAGCAGCGAGGATGAAAGAGCAGTTTTTGTTCCAACAGATAATTGGTTTCAGCACACTCTCTCACAACGTCTTGGTGACTGGGAAAAGCACACTAAGGTTGTAATTTTAATTTAAAGTACCTGTACAAAAATTATTTATTATATAGTTTTATGAATTTTTAAAGGTTGCATTACATATATTTATAGATCAATACCAATTGAATTACTGTATTCTAAGAACACATTTAGGCAAAAAATTTTGTATTTATAATAGGTAATGAAGGAAGTTAACTCATTTTGCAAGCGTTTCCATGCTTTATGTTGGAGATAGAATCTCACTTTTGAAGTCGTGAATGAATTGAAATCGTGTAATGCCTTTACGACAATACAGTAATTTTATTAGCAAGCCATTACTAATACCCAACCACAATGGCTGTAGAAGTTTATTATATTAATTTATTAATCATTTAACAGGTTTTTATTATTTGAGGGTGATATTTACTGTGTGTGAATGCATGTGTTTTTATGTGCATACATATATGTGTGTGTTTACAGTCTCAGTTGCTTTTGTTAGGGCATTGGATCAAAGCTGATGGAGAAGATGGGATATGTGGTTGGCACCGGCCTTGGTCCAGAGGGAGAGGGCCGAGTGGAACCTGTGACTGCCTATGTTTACCCACAAGGAGTGTCACTGGGTAGGTTCCTCAGTTATACCTCTCAAGATGGGAGTTGCCTCAAGTCATAGGTCATACACACTTCCCATCAGATGTACTAAATTTTGATTTGGGAATTGAAACCAATCAAAAGAATGTCTTATCACATTATAAAATGATCTTCCATACTAGAAAAAAATATTTGTAAATACTAAAAGATAAAAGGCTGTTTATAATTTTTAAACTGGTAACAGATCAAATACATTGTACATGTAAGTGCCACCAGTGAGGCTTATTTTGAGGAAGATAAAATGCTTTAAAGGAAGGCCAGTCTAGGAAGATGGATTGCTTGGAGGTAAAATATAATTTACTCATCTGAAGTGATGCCACAGTTATGTAAAAACTAACGGAAGGAAATTATGCAATTTTGTTATTTTACACACACACTTGGAATAGTACTACTATAAAAGTATTTTGTATATAAAAAATCATGTACGGTAACATCATTTAGTTGCCAATAAATTCATATTCTTAGAATATTATTAAAAATAATGAATTCAAGTAATGGTGAAGCTGAATTTATATATTGTATTCATTTAACTATGAAATGCTTGTGATGCAGTGATGTTTTGTGTGCAAATAAAAAGAATTGAAAGGAAGAGCAAATTGGTGTTCCCGTTAGATATACTGTACTGTTATTGTCTGCTAGTATTATATGCGTGGTAAATAAATAAATAAATTAATTCACTTCATTATCATGATAATCATGTTACTTGACAAGAAAGGATTCATCAAGAAAGGAGGAGGAGGACAATCAAAAACGTGTGATTAAAAAGATCCAAATGTATTGTAATAAATTAGAGGTAAATTTAAATAGGATATACTTTGTACATTGGAATGATTTTTCCCAGTAGAATGAAATATTGTAGTTTTGTCCTTTTAAGAATGGAGTAAGAATTCCTATTATACATTTCAGGCTATTTAAGGCTCTTGAGGAGTCAGCTTGTCAAAATAATTCTTAAAATTAATCAATCATGAATCTCTTAAGTCTGTTAATGAACTTGTTTGCTCTAACTCACAACCCATGAATGCACTCACATCACAGCTATCCTTTTGCTGGCATATCTAGATAAAGCATAATCGCAAAGTTTTATATGCTTTGCTGATCAGTACACAGGGCAAGTACCAGAGGCCACTAATGAAAGGCTAGGAAGGAGAATTATTAGAACCTTATTTACTGTACATTGTAATGAAGAAGGACCAATTAGACAATTTCTGTCTGGTAAATCGATCATGAAAACTAAGCTTCCTTCAGTGTTTTGTGCATTTTACAGAAAATCAAATAAGCAACACATTTGATTGCTTATGATGAGATGAATAAGCACAATGGCCAACATGATTATGGGTCTTGTAGTACAGTTGACTACATTCTTGACTCACAATCGGGGATCCTGGATTTGATTATTGATCCAGAAATGGTTGGGAACATTCCCCTTCACCGAATGTCTCTGTTCACCTGGCAGTAAATAGGTACCTAGAAGTTACACAACTGTTGTAGGGTTGCATCTTGGGGAGGAATGGGGGGTCTGGGGATTGTCCTTGGAGGGGACCTCATTACAAACCCAAAGTATATATATACATAGGCTTCCTGTCCCCAATAAAACAAATTATTATTATGATTGATATTAAGTTACACATGTTATGGTTTATGTAATAATTTTCATTGCCTCAATGAATTTGATTACATTGACGTTGCTCATCTCATGTTTTCCTGCTCTCGTATTGGCATCCTGAATGATCTCTAGGACCTCTTGAATATTTTGTACTATAGACAGTGGTTTAGTCATTCTAGCTTAGTACTTTTTTCTTATAAATGCCTATTTGCTTTTTTATAAATGTCTATATATTATACTTTCAGTGCTTATTTCAATTTAAGAGATAATATTTAAAATGAAACCAAAATTTAACTTGCTGAATTGGCCTTAGAGAAAGGATCATGGTAAAGGTTTGATAGATTATATTGATTTTTGGGTCACTATTTGAGCATTATTTGCACATGAGAAAATATTGAATCCGTACGATGGGATCGAACCTGCATTCCTGTACTACTAAGGCATACACACTAGCAGCTTGACCATGAACACAGGGATACGGATTTGATTCAGTTGCACGGCTTCAATAGTTTCTTCACAATTTTCTGACTTCATTGTGCAATATTTGTCTAATGTATACTGCTGAACTTTGTGCAGATCGTTGCATGGAACTTCGAGAAGCATCAAATGGAGAGGAGCTGTTAAATGTTGAAAAGCGGCTGGACAGAGAACGGAGAAAGGAAGAAGCCAAATCAACTCAAGCAGCTGAACGACTCAAGAAGCGAACATCAGTATTTGATATCATTAATAAAAAATTAGCAGGAAAAGGTACATATATATTCATTTGAGCAATACTGTACATTTATGTAATTGTATCTTAGTAATTCATTTAGAATAATTTTCTGTGGGGAGCCCCGTCGGCTCCCTGAAGCTATCCAAACTGATATGTGCTATATTAGTTTGGGGTCATCAGTCACAGGAGTCCTTATGCCTACCGGGGACCACGAGCCAGAACCTGGCCCCCCTCAGAAAGGTGCAGGGAACAATGGCCTATAAGCACCTTACATTTAACGTATGCCATAATTGCCATTGTCTGGGGAAGGACCCAGATAGGTAGTCGAATCAAAATAGACCACTGTCTGGTTAACCTGTGCAATCTACATCAGAAAAGATCAAAATAACTCCCTTAGAAAGAAACCCAATGAGCAACACTTCATGCAACTAGCATTCCCACTTGTTAGCATCCCCTTCCCCTTCCTTGTTAGCAAAAAATCAATGCTTCCCTTACTTCATGAGGGAAGGGGAAGCCAGCTCCCCAGAACTGGCAACCCACCCCTCCAGTTCTTGAACTGATGTGCTGGTGGTCAGTTCAATCAAAAATGGCCTCGAGTTCCTGTTCTGGATTTTTGCCCTATGTGGCTGTTCCAGCTGTGTGTGGTGTGGTGGCCAGTTATCTTTAGTGTACAGGAGCTGCATGCACCTGGAGTAAAATTTCGAACTGGAGTAATATCTTGGCATTAACAGCTTTAGTGGATAGGAAATTCATTGAGCTTATTGCCTATGGGTGAAGAAGCATCTCCTGTTTTATATCTTACATTACTTAATATTAAAACCTAAATACCTAATTATTAATTTCAGGTCCAAATCCAGAAGATAGCGATGATGATTCAAATCCAAAGCCAGTCATGAATGTCAGTAAGTCCACCCTCCAAAAAGATTCTACCAAGGATCTCAATATGAAGAATTATCAACTTAGTGAAAATATCCGTCAGCTTCGAAAGGAGGTGGAGAAAATGGAAAGTTCTAGAGAAAGGCAGAGCGGCAACAAGGCAGCTTTATCAGTTATCAACAGTAAGATTGAGAGTAAAAAGATAGAGATACAAAGACTTCAAGAGGCTGAAAAAAAGGTTCAGGGGGAACAGCAGAGTAGAAGGGATAGGAAAAAATTTTGCGTGTTTTAAGTTTTTCCCAAAAAGATCTCACCATTCATCTCATAAATACTGTATATCATTTCACTCAAATTAATCTTTAAGTATTCCATAATTTAAATAGAATTGTGTATCTTAGTCATTTGTGGTAGTATTAAGTGCACATATGAATATAATATTGATAGTACTGTCTAGCAATTCTATGATTATTTATGTTTGTATAGTAAGTTGTTAAAATTACACTACTGTATTCTGTAAATTTTTAATAATTTAAACAATGTTACTTTTGCATACTACATATTTGATATAAATTTCAACATATATATTGTAATTCATGAAATGTATTTGAGTTTGATAGTAAAGTTCTATGTAAATCATTTGTTTTTATTAGATGAATTGTAAATTGGTATTTTAACAGTAGCAGTGAAAAATAAAATGGCTTACAGTAAACAATGCGCCTCTGTCGTGCAATCAAAATCACTCCCTGACTCTTGAATGATTTGGCCCCATTGAGGTTCTGGACAGGGAGGAACGACTGGGCTCTGAACCTTAAATGTTTACCCCGTTCACCAAGCAGTAATTTGGCACTTGTTTGTAAGCTGATATTGTGTTACAGGGAAAACTCGTGGTATAATGTCTCAAGGTAGGATGTGGGAAGAGAAAGTTCAGAGCCTGCTAAAAAAAAACTCAAAAGTTATCTGCTCCTGGACCCGTTTATTAAAAAAAAATGTGCCTGGTCCTTTATTTTTTTTATTAATTTATATATACAACAGTTCTTACATTCTTGTACAGCCACTAGTACGCGTAGCGTTTCGGGCAACATAGGCATTTCATAGACATTGTAGTCAATTACCAGAAGAAATTTAAATTGTCACAAACAATACTGCAAAAATAAAGAATTTGGTTCTTAATGATAGTTCATATATAGGAAAATGATGTTCGAAACATCTGCACAAAATCTTTTTTCCCTAGGCATTAAAAGCAAACATAAAACTATCTGTATCTCCAGATGTCTTATTCTATCCTGTAACTTGCTTGGGATGAGAACCACATGTATTAGGTGTCACAGCCTAATACTGTACTGTACTTTTTAAGCTATTGTTTGTATGGCTGATATAGTACTGGTCTGCCACCCTGGTGGCCTAGGTTCGAACCCTTGATGAACTTTTCCAGCTGTATTTTAAAACCCAGCAGAGTTTTGGCATTTATGGCTTTGGCATGTAGGCTGTTCCACAGGTTTACAACCTTATGGATGAAAAAGCATCTCCTGTTTTCAGTCCTACATTGTGGCTTGTTCAACCACCAATGAGGAACTGAACACCATGGAATCCTCAGAGTCTGTATGGTGCAATATACTAGCTCAAGATGGTAACATACTGACAGTAGAAGTATGCTACTGGTGAAGTTGCTGACACAGCAACATCAAAGGAAGTTATTGATCTGCATAATGTGATCAATGCTGCGTCACAAAACTAAACTCTTATAATGGGCGATTTTAACCTCGAGACAATAGATTGGGTAAATCTAACATCGCAAGCAGATCAATTTCTAGACCTGGTGCAGGACTCCTTTCTCATACATGTGGTAGAGCCCACTCGAGGTAGCAGTATTCTGGATCTTGTGCTAACATCAGAAGAGGGCATGATCGATCAAATTCATGTAGGGGAAAAGCTCACCCCATCATGCGGTCACAATATTCTAAGATGGAATACAATTATAGAAACTCTTGTAAAGGTCCAGAATGATGACCTTCTAGATTACCATCGAGGAGACTATCAGGGAATGAGAGGAATTGTAAAACACCTCCAGAAGGGAGCCGATAGGTGATCATGACATGGAAACGTCATGGGAAAATTTCTAAAAGGTTATTACCGAACTCGTTGGAAGATATGTGCCACAAAGAAGAAAGAAAAGAAAAGGAACAAGATGGATGATACAAGTACTGTAGTAAAAGGAGCTTTGTTAACTAAACGGAAGCTCTGGAGATGGTGTAACGTTTCTGTTACCTAAATTATGGTGCAAATAAACAGACACTAAGAGAAAAATATATTTGGACGAATGTGGTATACAAAAGGTTGCAGGTGAAATTTGGCGAGCAATGGTGTAATGGTGAGTTAAGTGCACTGAGAGTTGGTGTTGAAGGGTGAGGTATCTCTCAAGCGTCTGTACAAAACTACTCTTGAAAGAAGACTGCCGATTATTGATTTGTTTTTGTTGTTTAAAATTGGCTACTGGGAACAAAAAGTTCCAAGTAACACGGGCTATCAAAGTAACACGGGGACCAAAGAGTCAGAGCTCAACCCCCGCAAACACAACTAAGTGAGTACAGAGATCTACCTGAACTCCACAAATGGTCAGATGACTGGCAAATGTTTTTTAATGTCAATAAATGAAAGACTTTGCACGTGAGGCATAACAATCCACGTCACAACTACCAAATTAACAGCACTACCTTACAACAGATAGATGAAGAAAAGGACCATGGCGTCAGAATCTATTATTCTTTAAAAGTTGCACCAGTGGGAGTGGCAGTAAAAAAACTATGAAGAACCTCATCTTCAGAAAGACATAGCTGCTCTGGATAAGGTGCAACACCAGGCAACAAAATTTAATCGTTCCAGAGCTTAATCATCTCTCGTATCAGGAACGGTTAAAGGCCACAGGGCTAACAACACTGCAAATCACGCATGCCAGGGCGGATCTCATCGAAACCTTTAAAATACTAAACAATTTGGAGGATGTTGATCCGGAAAATGTCTTCAAAAGGTCAGATGTAACACGAACCAGGAGCAATGGGTTCAAGCTCAACAAGCCACAATGTAGGACAGCAAACAGGAGATGCTTTTTCACCCACAGGGTTGTAAACCCGTGGAACCGCCTACCCGCCGGAGCTGTAAACGCCAAAACTCTGTTGAGTTTTAAAATATAGCTGGAAAAGATCATCAGGGGAAATGGGGGGAACCTTTGACAAGCCGCCGGCTTCCTTTCCCTCAGGTAAATTATGTTATGTGTTCCGAATGGCATAAATATATTTGGGTGCGACCTAGTAAACGATGTGTACGGGTCCATAGAATTACCCAAATCGGCCCAATAGACTGGGCTCTATCATATCTACATTTGAAACTGTGTATGGAGTCATCCTCCACCACATTACTGCCTAATGCATTACATCTGTTAACTATTTTGACACTGAAAAAGTTCTTTCTAACGTCCCTCTGGCTCATTTGGGTACTCAGTTTCCACCTGTGTCCCCTTGTTTGCGTACCACCCGTGTTAAACAGTTTATCTTTATCTACCTTGTCAATTCCTCTGAGAATTTTGTAGGTAGTGATCATGTCTCCCATACTCTTCTGCCTTCTAGTGTCGTGAGGTGCTTTTCTCGCAGCCTTTCTTCGTAACTCATGCCTCTTAGTTCTGGGACTAGCCTAGTGCCATATCTCTGAACTTTTTCAAGCTTCGCCTTGTGCTTGACAAGGTACGGACTCCATGCTGGGAGTCCTGGAGTATTTACATACTCCAGGATTGGTCTTACATATGTGGTATAGAAGGTTCTGAATGATTCCTTACACAGGTTCCTGAAGGCTGTTCTGATGTTAGCCAGTTTCGCATAATCACGCACTCACGTGTGTGTGTGTGTAAAATATACACTGAGGACAGGCAGCTTGTACATGTCTATTCGTTAGGTGTATATCGAGGTCCACCTCCAAGGTCGAACTACTGACCTGCACATTCACCCTGGGCACAAGTAGTCTCGAACCACCAACCCCAGGAGCAGGAGACAGTAGTTCTATTAACTACTTTACCTACAGCATAAAGAAGAATTCCAGAAACAAGAAATGGCAGTTGTTAACTGCTTCTGGAATCCTTCCTCGAATGTAGATGTTGCAAGGTTCTTTGATTATGTAAGTTAACAATAAAGAACTAGATACAAATTAAATGTGTGCTATAAAATATGTGTATGTGACATATATTCATATAAGCACAGACGTTGCGGTATTCAGAGTAAGGACAGTTTTTCCTCAGACCCATGCTCACAGTTTCTAGAAACCAGGACAATTTAGTAATCATGCGAAACTGCGGCATCTCTTACCGAGTCCATTTTGAACAAAAGGTAGTGAACAAAAATATCGAGTACATACAAGCAAAGTATATATTCAGGTGTGCAACTTCATCATAGTGAACAATAATAATGGTTCTGTCAACTATGGGTTTCACAATAAACTAAAGGTAACAGGATGAGCATGGGTTGCACAAACTATTGGTAACAGGATGGGTATGGGTTGCACAATAAATTACTGCGCTAGGATGAGTGTGTGTGTGTATATTATATATATATGTATATATTATATATATATATATATATATATATATATATATATATATATATATATATATATATATATATATATATATATCTTATCTACGTCCATGGCTTTCAGGTCCCTCTTGCATACGTCTTTGTACCGTAGCTGGGGCTTGCCTGTTGGACGCTTTCCCTGCCTCAGCTCTCCGTACAGGAGATCCTTGGGGATCCTGCCGTCGCCCATTCGCACAACGTGCCCGAGCCAGCGCATTCGTCTCTGTTTCAGCATTGTGTACATGCTGGTGATTCTTGCTCTCCCCAAGACGTTGTTGTTTGTCACCTTGTCCTGCCAGGTGATGTCCAAGATGTGTCGAAGGCAGCGCATGTGGTAGGCATTCAGCTGTCTTTCCTGACGGGCGCGGAGTGTCCAAGACTCACTGCCATAAAGGAGATTGCTCAGGACACAGGCTCTGTAAACCTGAATCTTCGTATACTCAGTCAGCCTATTGTAAATTCAGGTAAATCTTAGCTAATTAAATAATCCTGAAAAGTTTGCATATTGAAGCCAGGGCTGTGTTAGCAGCATTATACTCTCTAAGCAAAGCAATGCACTGTTGCCCTCCAACCCAGATGATGGGCACTGGTTCCCATGTCTGTGGACCTATACTTACAACCACGTTCTCGTCTGTGGACCCTCCCTACTTTGGTACGGCTCTCAGTGTGCTTGATAGAGTTAGGAGGGTGTTTGTCTGGTTATGTGAGGTATTTGTTGACCAAACCACACACTAGAAAGTGAAGGGACGACGACGTTTCGGTCCGTCCTGGACCATTCTCGAGTCAATTGTACATTCTCACAATCGACTTGAGAATGGTACAGAACGGACCGAAACGTCGTCGTCCCTTCACTTTCTAGTGTGTGGTTTGGTCAACATATTTCAGCCACGTTATTGTGACTCCTCGTCTGCAGGTGTTTGTTTGCTAGGTCAGTATAGGTACACAACTGGTCGGGTTCTGATTACACGCGGACACGAGGCGACTCGACTAAACTCATTTTCTGTTTTAAATCTGGAT